TCAAAAACTCAAAAAAGTCCGACAAAAAACACCTTCGGATGACGAACGAACAATTTCAGCCCTGTCTGAAAATGAGCAAACAATATACGTCTAGGAAAACCCAGCATTAGGAGTTCCATACATTGGCGTATCCAGGATTTTGGTTTGGGGGGCTCTGTTAACAAAAAGTGTCAAAAAAAAAACGCTGCGCACAATACAAAAGCCCATTTTCACTTGCCTTTAGCCCAGCGGTTCCCAACCGGTGGGTCGCGACCCCTAAGGAGGTCGCATAGAGTTTTTGGAGGGGTCGCATTGCCAATATATATTTTTCTGCATTTGGCAACACGCCTTATACCTCATTCTCACTTGCGCGAAAGTCGCTCTTTTTTTGACAATGCTTCGACAATGGGCTCTTTCACTAATTTTTGAAATTGGCATATTTGGATAAAGCAACTAAAAACAGAATTTTCTGTATTTTTACTTTTGAAAAATTCATAGTCCTTCTTGAGAAAACAGAAAAAAAAGAAATATCTCCAAATAAAAACCCAGAATTTATTTCTATGACGTCGCAGCTCGCTATTTGACCGTGTTGCCACTAATTGTCAACATTGAAAATTTGTAATAGATTTAATTCTGAAATGTTCCCAAAATATCATGAAAAGTAGTTAAATTAATTAGTTATGGATTCAAGATTTTATAACATTTTTATTGAAATTATGCTTAAACACAATTTAATATAATTTTCTATGTTTAGTTTTATTTATTTATTTTACGTTGCACTACATTTAGTCACCACCGACAACAGCGCATTCGAACCTTTACCTGCATTTACTACAGGATAAATACAGCAGAGGCGGACAGCTCTTTGCAACAACAAGCGAAATGAAAAATATTTATGCGACGTCAGCAAATCGGCGCGTTTTTAAATAATTCAAATTTTGGTAGTTTAAAATGCCTGTAAAAAACTTATTTAACCTTGTAGAACATTTTTTTTTGGTATATGTGCCTAAAATAGTCCCTCCTTTGGGATTTTATACCTAAATTACGTATTTAAATTTTAGTGAAAGAGCCCATTTGACGTTTTATGCGTGTATAAAACGTCGTTTTTTGGTAAGAAAGTATACTAATGGTATTGAAATGACTAACAGATTAATTTAAAAATTTGAAAGTTGCCCATTTTTGTCAGAATTCACCTTTCACCTGACCACCTGTAACATACGCAAATGTTACGCGCTTAATTCTTTTTTGCGGGGCGACAAAAATGTTCGTATCGGGCTACTTATTCGCTTTTTTTTTATAAGAGGAGACACTTCACGGAGCCTCTTCTCTCCTGAGGAAGAAAGTATTTCAGACATTAAAGATGATTAAGATGATGCACTGATTTCCTTGCTGCATTCGGCGTTCCTCATAGAAAAACCTTATCATACAAAGAAATACATTTTATTTCTATTTCTTTTACAAAAATTGTACATGTCACATAAAATGCACTGAAAAAAAAAGTCTAGACTTGTCTTGGGGGGCAGCGGCAGCCCCCCCTCCCTGGATACACCAATGGTTCCTTATACTAAGAAACATGTAAATAGTTTCGAAATCAAATTGTATTTCGATATTCCAATAATAACACAATTAGAAAAGAGATAATCAAACTATTTAGTAATAGAAAGAGAATAATATTCTTCTTACCAAATAATCCAACAACATCACAAATTACTAATTTAGTAAAGGAATACATGCCACCTGGTATTTATTGCCTTCATTTCCTAAATAAATCTTTAGAACCTATTGTGATACGAGCATTACAAGAATCGTTTAATTCGAATTTATTCACTTTGTACATCTCGAACTCTTTATTATGCCGGTTTTCCACCAAACGGACTGTTGAGTTTGTGTTTTAAAACATATTTTAAAACAAAAACAAAACTGAAATAAACACAAAACTCTTGTTTCCATCAAGCGGACTAAGTTTTGTTTTCTCGGAGAAACAAAACCCCAACTGTCTCAAAACACGCTAGTCTTGAAAATGTTCGGGAAAAGTTTAAATTTGGGTTTTGTTTTTGTTTTGTCTGTTTGGTGGAAAACCGGCATTAGAGGACATCACAGAAGTTGATCTTCAACAAGATAAAATTCAGCAATATCATGAGACTAAAACTTCTCATAGAGAGGAATCACTGAAAATGTTGCAGCCTTGAAGAAAAGATCCTATTGGCCCAATATCGAGAAAGACGTACAGAATTATGTCAAAGCATGCGACATATGCAAAAAAACGAAGTATGAACAACAACCATACAAAATCATATTTAAACCAACACCCAGTGATATGTAATCCTTTGAAAATATTTACATTGATACATATATAATCAATAACCAGAAATTTCTAACTATTATTGATAGCTTTTCAAAATTTGGTCAAGCCTTTCCTGTAAATACGAAAACAGCTGTAGAGATAACATCACCAATTATTGAAATATTTTAGTGATCACGAAATACCTCAAAAAAATCACATCAGATAATGGAGCAGATTTCAAAAATGCTATAATGACAGATCTTTGTACATTATACAAAATTGAGTTTCATTACACAACTCCAAGAAATCTGAACTCGAATAGTCCAATCGAAAGATTCCATTCGACACTACGTGAAAGTATAACGAGGTTAAAACTCCAAACTCTGAATAAGAGTATTATTGACCTAATGACAATCGATATATTGAATTATAATAACAGTACTCATAGTACAATGAATCACACTCCTTTTCAAGTGATTAAAGGAGATTTGAATTTTGCCATACCAATTGAACAAATAGAAAATAAACTAACAACCGACTATATAACAAGATTAACAGAATCCCTTGCAAATTTGAATAAAGAAATTCAAGAAAAATTGTTAACGTCTATAGAATCAAGCAATAAAAATCGTGAACCTGAACCAGAATTACAAGATCCAATTTTTAGAGACAAGTTCGCGTTATGATAGCAAAACACAGAATCGCTTTGCTAAACAAAATGTTGAACGACAATAATTTATTTCAGGTACCCCAAGATGAATCCCTTAGTATACCTAACTCTCGTTGAAGTCACCCAAGCGTAAACATTGATGACGGTAGAAAATGCTATTTTTCCTACAGCCGTGCGGAAAAATCGATTTTCCGCACTGATATGCGTGCGGAAAATGAGTTTTCCCGCACGGTGCGGTAAAACTTTTTTTTTTGACATATCAGTGCGGAAAAAGTTTTTCCGCGCGGCTGTCAGTGCGGAAAAAATTTTACCGCACTGATATGTCAAAAAAAAAAAAAAAATTACATTTTTTCGCCTGTAGGAAAAATATTGTACCTAACACTTGCGGAAAATATTTTTCCGCATTTGTTAGGTAAATAACTATTACCAATTTCTTTAGGAACTACTCACGTAACAACTCAACATAACACAGCCTATCATCACATTAATACGACAATTATCATACAAAGTAATGTCTGAAATTACTTTAATGAAATTATCTGACACACAACACACTAAATAAAACGACATGGTTAAACCCTCTAAACCAATTTGTTACACTGTTTCAATGAAAACTCAAGTAAAAATCCAAAATGAGTTAATTATATTTGTTATACACACGCCAATAATCAATCCCCAAGTCCATTATATTGTATAAAATTTAATTCCTATCCAAGAACTTACCATTAGGGATAAGTATCCTTACCTATTACTTACTACGGATATTTCAGAAGTCAAAAATATGTACTTTTGTAACCAAGAAGAGCTCAAGCAAGAAGAATCATGTGTCTATGACCTGATTACTGATGGACCACAACAATGTACTTTCACCAAAGTGAAATATGCCAAACCAACAATGAGACAACTCCCAAATGGATAACTATTAGTTATCCTTAAGAAAAGTCTGACGATAGTTACTGAATGTGAAAAGACAAACCATATGGATATTATAACCAATCCAATGCTAATTTCTTTTGAAAAATGCTTTGTAGAAATACAAAATCAAACATTTTCAAAAACCAGCGAAAAATTCAAGTTTGAACTGAAGATTCCAGAAATAGACATCCCTGAACTTCCAAAGAACCAAACAACATTGGAACTTTGGAACTTCAAGAAATCAACCAAAAAGACCTAGAAGAAGCCTTCAAGAAGACGAGACAAATAGGAGTTCAGAATATCAAAGAATTAGTCCTTTGACAACTCTTATTTGAGGTTTAAGTCTTGCTATTTTATTCATAATTTTATTGTTTTACTGTTTCAGGCAGTTTAAAACTTCAAAAAAAGGTTGTGCAAATGTGCAAATTGAACTGTCTGATTTGCATAAACAACAAGCCACATTTGCAACATCTTAAGGAGAAAGGAGTTATATTAACCAATTGCCACGCTATTTAATATTCAATTATCCATTTTTTATATGCTTTAATGAGCTTACCCCTTTCCTCTATGACTTTAAATACATTATTCTAAAGTAAACATCAAGTTGCTATATCGGCATTAAATTCTTATTTACACCAGCGCAGACCCATAAAGGAGCGTTTATTTGTTTTCAAGCTTTTGCTGTAGCAATTTGATTCACATATTTTCTTTTGTCACCTCTGTATTTTAATCAATGAATAAATGTTTTTTAGAATACAAGTTTCTGAATCAAAAACATAATTAGTGCGCGAACTGAATAATGTTATTCGATAAAAAAAAAATGAAAAAATAAGATATAAGCGGTGTCAAAAAAACTATGTTCAAAATTGCTACGAGATATCAATCCGGTTAATTGGAATACATTTGGAATGATGACCACTTATACTAACAGTGTTACCGAATCATTTTGGTTTTCGAGATACGAGTAGGGGAATTTTCGATTTTGAGATATTTGAAAAAAAGTCGCCGCATTTCTCCAATAAAGAAAAATTATTGGATCCTCTCGAATGTTATTTAAAAAATAATCGAAATAGTTATGCCGGTCCAGATGTATGCTCTAATAAATTTCCAGAAAGTTTAATATGTATCTATTTTCCAAATGTTCTTTCTTACCTGTATCTTAATCTGCTTCAGAGCCCCTTCGCTACCAGCCAATTCAGCACCAATCCTCAATTTCTGCACTTCTTCTTGCAGGTCATCGCACTGTTTCCGGAGATTCTGCAAATCTGAAACATCCCCAAATAATGAGTGTCCGTCCAGAGACTGACTTTGCTGATTGACAATACATTCGAGTTTTTCTATATCCCGTAAATGTTGCCGTATCTGTTGGCCCTTGGTGTCGTTTTTCTCCTCTAAATCTCTAACTATGTCGCGGAATAATTGGATTTTTTCTACAGCTTCGTCCCGTTCAGATTCTAGCTCTTTGAATTTGTGGCTTTGGTCTTCTATAATGTGATTTAGATCGTGGATTTGCTGCTGCAGTTCTTCTACCTAAGATAAGGATAAAGTGATTTAAATTTTGCCTATAAGAATATTTAATTTTTTGCAAAAATCTTGAAGAATATAGTACGTCTAAAGCTAACTGATGCTCCTAAAACCATAAACCTTCAGTTTTCCTTACCTTGTCTTCAAGCACCCAAACATATCCGCCTAAAAAAATTAGACTCAACATATTGAGAACTTCATTTGGCAATTTAATTAATAAAAATCTAAATATACTTTGGATCGAATTCAATGCAATCTGACACCACAGAAGACGAATGATAAACTGAGCTTTAAAAAATCAGTTCCCAAATAAAAGCGACTGTTTTGTAAACAAGGAGGAAAACAAAAATATATTTGTCAAAAAAAAAAATGTAAAATGCAAGTAAAATAAATGTTTGAGTTTGTCTGAGTTACAAAAATTGTTGGGAATGAAATGAGGAAAAATGTTATTGCTTAGATCAATGAAAACTACATTTATTCAGGTCAGGAGAAGATAATGTCTTTTGATATTAAGAGTTTAGCAAAAAAAATCGTAAAAAAATTAAATTAACACTTACATTTTTCAAAAATAATTAGCCATAGCGGCATAGATTTGTTTACACTAAATTATTTATACCAAACAAGCACTGTTCGGCAAAACTAGACCGTCTGTTTATAACACTAAGCCCCAATTTAAATAACATTACTTAAAGCGAGAGGAAAAGCCCAAAAATAACTCAAGGATAAAAATAGCCTTGCAATAGGTGTATAAGTGAAAAACGGAGGTAGCGTCTGGAAAGGGCCTTACCATGTTTATTTTTAAATTGTCTTAAGGAATACTATACAGAGTGTTGCGGATAAGAATATATTCTAGCAATTTTCAGTTTAATTTTTGGTGAAAATGTTAAAACCACAAAACATAATGAATATGAACTTAGCGAAACACTCGTCGCCAAACTCAATGGGCATGGGTGGATTATTTGTTGTTAAATTGTTGCTAATTAGTTACGGCAATATTGATTTTGTTGCTCTTTTGATTTTTTTTTTTTTTTTTGGGTGCTTCGCTAAGTTCATATGAAGTTAGCGAAACATTTCTCCTTAGAACGTCTCTAGTAATAAATTAAATGCATGGAACTTTGTTGCTAATTATTTGCTAATTAGTTACGGCCATTTTAATGGCGGGAAGTAATTATTTTTGTTTTTAAGGGGTGCTTCGCTAACTTCACACGAGCAATCTCATCTGTAGATGACTCACAACCAATTAGAAAATTAATAGGAATTAGTTGCTAATAAGTTGCTAATTAGTTACGGTAGCTAAAGGTACAGCGAATTATTTTTTTCGTATTTTCGGGTGCCTCGCTAAGTTCACACGTACATAATTACACCACAACGTATCCAAACGATGGGAAACACGTTTTTTATTTTGTTGCTAATTAGTTACTAATTAGTTACTATCATTTAGAATTTGTTACGCGACTCCACATTTGATATTCAATGTCTTTGTCCCTGTCATGGCCGCCAAGTGATTTCAACCTTCTTAAACTTTCCCTGACTAATTTAATATTTTGTTACTAATTAGATGACGACTAATTATCGCCACTTCAATCAATAATAAATAAATAATAAATATTTCTTTATTTAGCACTTAGCTAGTTATTGCAATACAATTATTTAGGTAAATTTTTTTTTGTAATAATTTGTAAATAATTGTACTTCAATCGCTTGAATGATTTTCTTGTTCATTTTTCCGGGTGCCTCGCTAAGTTCACACCTGCTTTATAATGCAGAAACGCAATTAGATCAGTTTACCTAACAAAACAAAAATTTCCAATTGGTTAGGTAGGCTAGTGGCAAGGATATTAAACCACAACAGGATGGTTACCCCGGCGAGCACGCGGTGCTGTAGTGACGTCATCTGACCTGGACAAAAACGAGAAGTAACCATCCTGTTGTGGTTTAATATCCTTGAACATGTTCCATGTGCAATTATTAGAGCTACGATTGATTTAACCGACTGTTGCATTAAAAAATAATCATTTTGGCTTGTCATGGAGAAACGGGCCAGATTCGAAAAAGAGTGGCCAACGGGCCACTCCGTCTTAGAAAGGGCCAGATCTGGCCATATTAGGCCACCTGTGGCAACACTGCTTCTGTTGAGTGCTGTGTTTATCACGTGTCAGAAAAGGAAACGAGAATAAAGAAAGTGTCTATCGTCTATAGAAATTGATATCCTTATCGATAAACCGATAGAAGGAAAATGCCTCGAGGACGACCACCTTTAATTGATAATCAAATAATAATTGAATCAGTATTGAGGCATAAAGACGAAATTATTTTGGATCCGGAGAGCAATACCACCGTGACAAGAACGCATTGTGTGTGAAAAATAATTTCTGCGGAACTGCTCGACCGGATAGGACCAAGTTGTAAATGACAGATTCTCTTTGAGAAGCTTGCTGTTTGGTACAAACTGTACTACAGGAAAAGTACCAAATGATTTGAATGACACGACTTCGTCCACCATCGTCGAATTTGACCGAACAACTCCGAAGCAAATTCGTGATTTTGAATTCATTTTAACATTTGGTGAAAATGAATTCAATGAACTTATTACGGAAACGCAGAGACAGATGATCGATAAAAAAGGCAAAAGAAAATTTCGTGTAGTGAATATTTTGAGACCACAAGTATGGACTGAAACAATATCGAAAAAAATTTTTGATGAGCATCACCTTCTTCACGGCTACCACTTTAAAAGTAGTCACATTAATCAGGATAAACGATCAGGTGGATTCAAAGGTAAAAACATTCATTTTTTCATACAGAAGAATTATATGAATTAAACACTCCGAATTTATAGATATAAATTTAATAATAATCAGTAAAAAGTAGGTAACTGATTCTGATAAGTTAATACTTTTTTTTCAATGTTAAGATTTGGATAATGATTAGTTCAATTTCGTATTATAATCACGTTTGTTATCAGTGTAATTCATTTCATGGTAATTTTAGTTCGACCTCCAGTCCTTCGATATCAATACTATTTTACCACGTAGTAGACATTTGTCGCCTGTATTACCCACTAAGTTTAAAGAAGCCGGTCCTGTCCACTCCTGCTCTTCGCTGCCGTTGGCCATCTCCATCCGCCATCGCGTCATTTAGTGCTTGTATCGTGCAGAGCGTACTGGTTTTTTCAAGCTTTGGCTGTCACACGTAAGTAAATTTGATTGTAATATTTACTTTCCAGCCATGAAAAAACATAAGAAAAGAGACCGGTCATCAAGTAGTGATGACGAGCTATCGAAAAAAGAATTACTAAGAAGAATTCATAAGTTGGAACGATCCCAAGAAAGACGAAGGTCACGTTCCCGTACGTACTCTAGTAAGCGCCATCGGCGTTCGGAGTCGAGCGTGCGTTCTCGCTCTCGCCGACTGGAATCAGGTGACCGACGCAGGCTAACTCGCTCTCCCACACAGACGCGAAAGGTCGATTCTTCCCCGTCGCGCCATCGACAGCGCTCATGGGTGGAGCGGGGAGAGCTTTCCAGCTGTTCCTGCGATAGAAGTCGATTCTCTAGTCGATCCGTCGAGACTGTCGAGAGCACAGGGACGCATTCAGCCCGTCGGCGCCGAAGTTTTTCTGCAGAGCGATACTCGTACGTATCGACGAATGCAGACGCAACCAACAATGAGGGATTCAACTTGCATGTTGAAAACCTTGTACGACCAAACAGTCCAGACAATATTACAGCAGAAGGAGGCCATTCTCCGTCACTAATAATAAATAATGACGTTGAGCTAGGCGACGATTTTTTGGCCATTTTAGGAAGCGATCCAAAGGAATGTGGAAAGTCAACTTTCCAACTTCATAAGGCCATATCCTCGCGATGGGATCATATATTGTCTAATGGCTTATCGGACGAGGACAAACGGGTTTTAAATGACCGTCACAAAATACCAGAGAATTTACCCTTGTTAGTGCCATCTGAGGTTAACGCTGAAATCTTGGCAATTATGTCAGCGCTTCATAAAAAGAGAGATTCTGGTTACTCGGCAATTCAAAATCAGATTTCTCATGGTCTTTCAGCTCTTGGACAGGGCCTTAAAATAATTCTTGAAGAGGGCAATAATTTTCCCAAGGAATTAAAGGAAAATTTGATGACTCCTCTTTGGGATTCAGGTAAAATTTTAACCAATTTATTTTTTAGCCTATCGCAAACTAGACGTACCTTGATTTCTCAAACTGTAAACAGACAGGTGAAAGATATTATAGAAAAATCTGTTCCTGACACCTCCTTGTTTGGTTTGGATTTCGGGGAAAAAATTAAATCTGCCCGAATGCTGGAAAAGACAAGTAAGGACTTGCTGGCAACACCTGCCTTCACTAGAGTACCGAGTACCTCAACCAGCACTAATAAAAAATATACTAGTGGCGAAAGAAGAGGAGGGAGGAGATCAATTCCGGAAAACCGATATCGCCCAGGTCGTCCAGGGAGGGGGACGAAACCTTACAAGGGCCAACAATCCTCGAGACACGAGAAGTTCTATATTCCAGGAAAAACAAGTAATTCCGGTAAGTAAAATACCAGCTGGAAGGTTACAGTACTTTGTTGACAGTTGGAAACAAATTACTTCAAATAATATTATTTTATCATGGGTAAAAAGTTTTGAAATACCCTTTCAATTCATACCTCCAGCTTCAGAAAGTTTTTCCTATGCAAAAATACTGTCTCATAGGGATACTAAGGAAATGTTAGAGTGCATCAAGGATCTTTTAAGTACGGGCGCTGTATCGAGATGTAAGAACGAATCTGTACAATTCGTCTCAAGCATATTTCTTGTAGATAAACCTAACGGTAGTAAAAGATTTATACTTAACGTTAAAAGATTAAACAGATATGTCGAGGTACCTCATTTTAAAATGGAGGACTATCGAACAGTTTCTCGTCTTATTCGTCCTAATGTATATATGTCAACAATTGATTTAAAGGACGCATATTTTATGATTTCAGTAGCAAAATCTCATAGAAAATATTTAAGATTTTATTTCCAGGAAAATCTGTACGAATTTAACGTTTTACCGTTTGGATTGTCATGCGCTCCATATATTTTTACTAAACTCCTTAAACCGGTTATAACCAAGTTAAGGACTGAAGGTATTTGCTGCGTTAGTTACCTGGATGATTTGATAATATTGGCTGATTCTGAACAACAGTGTCTTCTTAATACAGTCACTGTACTAAATTGTTTGCAGAATTTAGGTTTCATTATAAACAGGGAAAAAAGTTCATTAAGTCCTTCTAAACGACAGAAATTTTTAGGTTTTATTTTCAACTCAGAAAATATGACCTTAGGTCTAACGACAGAGAAGCGCGTAAAAATAAAAGAATCAATAGGTAATTTTAAAAATTCTCATTCATGCAAAATTAGACACTGGGCTCAATTCATAGGTCTGTTGATTTCGGCTTGCCCAGCGGTCAAGTATGGTTGGTTATATACCAAGTCATTTGAAAGAGAGAAAATTAAATACCTTCGTGAAAATAATATGAGTTATGAGGCTATCTATCATCTGATATCAAATCTGATTTGTTATGGTGGGACACTCACATTCTCATTTCTTCCAATGACATAAGACAGGACACTTTTAAGATTGAAATATTTACTGATGCTTGCTTAACCGGCTGGGGTGCATGCACCAAGGAACTCTCTACGTATGGTTGGTGGTCTGAAACAGACCAAAACAACCATATTAACTATTTAGAATTGAAAGCTATATTTTTCGGGTTGAGATGTTTTGCAAAGGAGCTTACCAACTGTAATGTATTAATACGCACTGATAATACTACTGCCCTATCATACATAAATAGAATGGGCAGTGTCCAACATAGAAATTTAGACAATTTAGCCCGAGAAATATGGCAGTGGTGCGAGTTAAAAAATACATTTTTATTTGCATCATATATTACCTCTCAAGATAACTGGAAAGCTGACAGAGCATCAAGAATGTTACCAACAGAAACTGAATGGGCTTTGGCTAACTATGCTTTTCAACGCATAGTGAAGGAGTGGGGTACCTTTGAAATAGACCTTTTTGCGTCAAACATTAACGCCAAGTGTGAGAAATATGTATCCTACTTACCAGACCCAAATGCAGTTGCGGTTGATGCTTTTACCATTAATTCGAGTACCTTTTATTTTTATATATTTCCTCCTTTTAGTGTAATTTTAAGAGTTATTCAAAAAATTATCGATGAAAAAGCGCAAGGCATCGTAGTAGTTCCTTGGTGGCCGTCCCAGTCATGGTTTCCTCTTTTCATGAAGATTAAGATAGGCGATTACCTGTTATTTAAGCCTGATCCTAATTTGCTTACTTCACCTTTTAGCTCACAACACAAGATGGCGAAGAACCTTACCCTGGTTGCAGCAAAATTATCTGGAATGCATTACTGCTGAAAAATTACCCAGAAAATACATTACGAACCGTACTTCAATCATTATCAGCTGGAACGCTTAAACAGTACAATTCCACCTATAAACTTTGGTGGGGTTTTTGCCAAAAACATAATGTTTCTGTTTACAAATCCGGGGTAAGTGAAGTTCTACAGTTTCTTCAAAATCTGTTGGACAGCCAGACTATACAATACGGCACCTTTAATGCACACAGATCTGCGCTATCCTTAATTTTGTCAACAGATATAGCTAATGATTTTCGGGTTAAGAGATTCTTGAAGGGGGTAAGTAACATTAGGCCTACTGCTCCCAGATACAATCATATATGGGATACTCGGCCAGTCATAGCCCACCTCAAGAACATGTTTCCAAATAATGGATTAACTTTAAGAGATTTGTCCATCAAGCTTGCTTCGTTTTTAGTCTTAGTTACTGGTCAGCGAGTACAGACCATATCCCTCATAAAAATTGAAAATATAACCAATTCAGTAGGAGGCTATCAAATTTTTATCTCAGATAAAATTAAGACTTCAGGCCCTGGCAAGCTTCAACCTTGTTTACATGTACCTTTTTTTACAGAAGATCCATCTTTATGTGTTGGATCAGTTTTAAAATTTTACCTAGAAGCTACGGCAAAAATAAGGAAACCAGACCAACATAATTTGTTTTTAGTTACTCGACCACCTTATAAGTGTGCATCGAAACAAACAATTAGCAAATGGGTCAAAGAATTATTGGCGCGTGCCGGCGTTAATACAGAAGAGTTTCGCGCCCATTCTACTAGACAAGCGTCTACGTCAGCCGCGAGAAGAAAAGGAATTTCTTTGGATCTCATTCGCCAGACTGCAGGCTGGTCAGAAGATTCCTCTACGTTTGCAAGATTTTATAATCGTCCTGTTATAGATTCATTTGCTTTTGCAAAATCTGTACTTAGCTTGTAGTTTTCATGTTTCATGTGGTATTTGGTTTAGAATATGTTTGAGTTACTTTTGATATATATGTCTTACTTATAATACAATATATTTTCCTTATCTTTGCAACTTGTCTTTGAACATCTACGTGGTAAAATAGTATTGATATCGAAGGACTGGAGGTCGAACTAAAATTATTAGATCAAACGAACTTACCAGTGAAGTTCGATCCTAATTTTAGGAGACCTCCAGTCCGAAGATATCAATTCCCTCCCATCCCAATATTTTTCAGTTTCCCCAGAGGTGTTGCAAAGATTATAATTTAAACAAAATGACGCGATGGCGGATGGAGATGGCCAACGGCAGCGAAGAGCAGGAGTGGACAGGACCGGCTTCTTTAAACTTAGTGGGTAATACAGGCGACAAATGTCTACTACGTGGTAAAATAGTATTGATATCTTCGGACTGGAGGTCTCCTAAAATTAGGATCGAACTTCACTGGTAAGTTCGTTTGATCTAATAATTATTAATATTCTACGATTTGTAAGTCAAATGAAAATAGTAAATAATATGGACTATTTCCACGATAGGACCGACGTTAAACTAGTTCGCTCTAATTGGTCCAAGCAAACAAAAAACTCAATACCTCTGCGTCAATTTTGGGAAATTTGAAAAATAGTGAAGGAAAAACCGTCTTACACTTTCTTCGAGACTTCCATACTCAATTCCATATTTGTTCCATAATTGTTCATATTTTCAATTTTTGTCAATTATTTTGCACCTCGCAAGTTTGATATCAAGGGGTTTCTCCGACGTCCTCAATGTTTGAAAATCTAACTCCCAGGGAGTCCCGAAGGAGCTCCAATGATCCCGAAGGAATCCCTGGGTCCTTCCGGGCAGTCCTTAAAAAGTCCATACCTGCACTGAGAGGAAGTATTAGTCGCAGTTACTAAATTGAATGGTTAGTGTGACTTAAATGTCACAACTAATTGTTTTTAGTAAACTCGACTAAAAATTAGTCAAGAGGACTAAAAATTTTGGGTGCAAGTGACTAATTTGTTAACCGCGACTAAAATTTTTCAGTTACTTTGACTAATTTATAGTCCCGGTGACTAATTTTTAGTAGAGTTTACTAAAAAAAATTAGTTGTGACGTTAGTCATCCTGGAGAGAAATGAAATAAGTCAAGGTGACTGAACGTCACAATTAATTGTTTTTTGGTAAACTCTTCTTGGTAAACTCTGAAAATTAGTCATCGTGACCATAAATTAGTCAAAGTTACTAAAAATTCTTAGTCGGGGTTAACAATTTGTCACTTGCTCTCAAAATTTCAAGTTCTCTTGACTAATTTTTAGAAGAATTTACTGAAAAACATTAGTTTTAACGTTTTAGTCACATTAACCATTTGATTTAGTAACTGCGACTAATACTTTGTTCGGTGTGGAAGTTCCTCGAAAATCCCTCAGACGTTCCCTTGGAGGTTCTATGCCCTGTAAGCTAGATTCCTAACAATTGGGCATGAGGAAGGTCAACTGAATACTTCCTGAGAATCCTTTCGGATCTCCGTTGAAGCTATTTCAGGAACCTTGCGACGTCCGGTCAATACTATTTTTTTTAAAATCTTAATGAAAATAGATATAACGTTTGTAACAATAAATGATTATTGCGAAAATACATAATAATAGTCTGCAATTTACTACTGTTATTGCAGGTCATTGTAAATGTGGCAGCAAAATAAAATGTGAAATATTGCCACCAACTGGCCATGAAGAAATCGTCAAAATCAGATGCATCGCTTGTGGAGGCAGTGCTGATTGCGGAAAACGACAATGTCGTGGAGAATCTCGTAAGAGAGTGGCCGAAATCCTGGAAAAGGAATCGACCTAGTTTTATCGTGCCAAGAAAGCAGCAAAATTAATGAATGAAGGAGATGTAAAGGAGCCACCGCATTTGTCGTCAGCAACAAAATACAGAGACTCTCATTCTATTCAGGCCAAGCTCAAGAAGTCTGAGAAAGGTCAAAATATAGTGAGAGATATCAGTTTTGACCCAGTGACGGTCCATTTTTGGTCTCCGCACCAAATTCGGGTATTTAACAAGCTTATGAAGAGACAATACAGCTTTCTTTGTATCGACGCTACCGGTGGGATTGGAAAACGCATTCTTCACGTGGATGGCGAAAAGTCACAACATCTCTTCCTGTACCTCGCAGTTCTCTCCACTTCTCCTAAATCAATAACTGCAGCAGGCATGATTTCTGAACGTCAGGATACTATTAGCATTTCCTATTGGCTCATGCGATGGATCCAGTCTGGCGCTGAATACCCCAGAGAAGTGGTAGGTATCATTTTTCAGCTAGCGTGTAAATTCATGAGGTAAAATTTGTGTATATAATGTTAAAAAGATTCATTATAACTTTATACACGTTTTTGAATTCAAGATTTTTTTAGAATCCTTCGTTATTTTGTACTTCAAGTGCATTAATCGTAATTTTCATTGATGAAATCTTAGATGCCGATGCACCAGGTACAAATAATATAATTTTAAGATATTTTTTCACTAAGCTCTGTAGTTTTTGTACTACAGTATTCAGGGTTCTCGTCGATGACGTTCGAGAATCCGCTGCACCACACAGGTAAAAAAACTGCGTGGCGCACCGAAGAATTTTCAAAATTCATATAATTTGTACCTGATGAATTGATTTCTTGGACTTTATAAACGAGAACACCGAAAAATGTACTTGGAGTCCAGTATCCAAAGTAACTCCTTTTTTTTGTTCGCTGTAATTAGTCACAAAAATATGGTCATCCTAAAAACTGGTTTTAATCATTTCGATAATAATTTTATACAGGTCTGTGATTCATCCAAAGCATTACTCAATGCTTGCTGCTGGGTATTCACGAATCATCCAACGATTGAATCTTATGCGAAAGCATGTATGACCAGCACTTTACCAAGGAGCAAAATTGGGATCGACGTCGCCCACTACGTCAGTAATTGGGCGAAATCTATGGCTTTAGAAAAAAAAGAAGTGAAAAAATTCTTCATGTACTGCATAGGTCAATTGATTCTATGTAGAAACCAAAACGAAGCTACCAAGATAATTGAAGCGTTACTGCTGATTTCTACCAGCGAAACTGCTGGATATGGAGCGGTATCTTTATCAATTGCTGTTGAATCCATGAAGAAGATGATCACCGAAGTTTCGCCTGAAATGGGAGAGATTGTGGATCAAAGTTTAGAGAATGCCGATGATGCCATTCCAGAAACGGAAACTGAAGAAAAAGACCAAAATGACGATGAGAATGTGCTGAGGACCTGGATCACTTCAATGGAAGAAAAAGTTGCATCGATAGTAGAAAAAGAAAAAGGAGACGATATAAATCCTCGACACTCTCCAGCATTCTCCAAACGTTTCCTAAAACAACTTCCGACTATCCCACTATGGTCTAGTATATGTCGAGACAATTTCGGGTTTGGACGGGTGCCGGCCAGCAGCGCTTCCGTGAAGCTTGAATTCAAAACAATAAAAAATGAGATTTTGGTTAAAGAGCAACGAGTAGACCTCGCGATCGAAAATCTCATAACTTATTTCGATGGAAAATTAAAAATTGTGGATTGTGCTGCCCAATCAAAGAAACGTTACGTTACTCGAGCTTCAAAAAATCTGGAAATGACCACACTTTCTGATTCTTCTGTAGGTTTGTTGGAAGAAAAGTGTCTCACGCAGAAACCTGCAACTCCTCCAGAATCACCAACTCAACTTCCACCAAACGATGATTATATTTTTGATCAATCTTATCTTGGAACAGACAGTGATAATCAACGGGATGATCAATTCTGTCACGAGAAAGAGAAAGAAAATTCACGGAATGATGAAGAGAACTCAGACGTCATGGCAAACTCGACGTGGGAACAAGTTGAAAGAAGTCCCTTGAAAGATTTATCATCGAAAAAAAAACCAACACGTTCCAACATGTCTTGCTTGTCGAAATGGAGATTATCCAACTGGATGCCATATTTGTGCAATCTGCAGCTCAAAAGTTCATCCAAGGAGTGCTCAGTGGCTATTGCAGGGAAGAAGAAGGATATGGAGAGAAAAGAATATGTATATATTGCTATCGCAGTCCTGACCTGTCAATAAGAAAAGCATTAAACGAAATTGAAAACTGGCGAGGCTTGGGAGAAACAAAAAAGAAAAAAAAAATCTTACTATCTAACCAAGACCAATCAAGATTTGAAGGACATCATTGTTTCCGATAAGAAAAGAAAACTGCCGATCCTGAAAAATGGAAGTGATTCCACTTTAGGATTCGTTACTATCGGATCAACCAAACTGTCGATTACAAACACATGCCCTATGGACAGTATTTTCCAAATTTTACTGGCAGCTGCAACAGACAATGCGGAAATCTTGAGGTTCTTTAAAATCAACACAGCAAAAAATCCTTTATTCCAAATGGTGCTTTGCGTCGCAGAAGGGAGAATCCATCTACAGACTTATCAACAGAGGATAAAAATCTATTTGGATTATTGGAAAGATACACCGCGGCCAAAGTCGATTCAATCCATAAAGGGGGCGTGCAACGTAGTCTCACTTGCTAATTTCCTCTTCAAGAACTGCGCTAGCTTCGAAGAAAGATCAACATGTCCAAATGGATGTCCTCCAAGAATTAAGTACCTACCATCAATCACAATACGGGAAGGGAATTCGGAAACCCATTGGAGAAGGTCATACATGAACATCTTATCTTACCAGGGGTTGGATGCCGAGTCGATTCCTGTGATGGGATTGAAGTCAATGAGATTTAGAAAATTGGTAAGTCTAGTGGTCCAAGCTCCAAGAGCTGTTTTCAGGAGTCTTCGGGTATTTGATGTCGAATCATTCACCAAATATTTTTTTAAAGTAATTACCATGAAATTCTAGTATGATTTCTATAATTTGTAAACTACACAGATATTTTGAGGGCATTTAATGAATATAAAATAAGTTGCATCACGTTTCTTGGCACAAAAAATGTTCCATTTGTTTTATTATGAAAGTAACAGCTATAATCACAATTACAAATCAATATTTTTATCAATTATTGTGTATTTAGTATATATTATCAATTTTCCTTTTGAAACAAAATATACAAAGTTTAATCTCAATTACAGGAGACATTGTGATCATGGGAGTTGATATGGACGGGAAAACAAGATTGGGCTCCATCCCAAAATCTTTCAGGTGCCCGAAAACGCAAGATAAATACAAAATCTTGGGAGTTATAGAATATCGTGGCCCGCCAGTCACTCGCAGATCAACCGAGGACATCGGGCATTATATTGCGATCTCGTAGCGAAACAACTGGGTTGGATACGATGACAAAAAATCAAAGTCCTATGTAGTTAATGAAGAGTATAATTTAAGTGTTGAACTATTGATTTATTCAAAGTTATAATGCTAAAGTTATGTATTGATAATGATGACCAAATTAAAATGCTCAATAAACTAAAAAGTAATCGTTAATAATTGGTTGAAATATTTATTACCAGATACACATTATAAAACAAACCCCCCATTTAATCTAGATTAATGTAATTGTGAAAGTAAAATTTAGCTATTGGCTTTCAAGAAATATAAAAGGTGATGAAAGAAATGATAAAGACATTCAATCATTTGCAATTTAGTAAAAAAAAGGAGTCTACAAGTTGTTTCCGTATTTAAACTATCAATTTTCCATACTCAATAGGAGTATATACTCAAAAAGCTTCCAAGGAAAAAAAATACGGAAAATTTCGAATAATAGTGACTAACAACTAATAAAGCTTCGCATTCTTAGAATCCGTTTTTATCCGTTTGTATCCGTTTATGAAACGGAAACATATATTTCTTACCTAGCCAAACGGATCCGATTTTAAAACGGATAAAAACGGCTTAAACGTAGCGAAGCACACGAATACAAAAAAGAACGAATTTTCGCAGTTGAAAAAAGTATGATTAGCAGACATCGAATTAGTAACAAAATATAAAATTGGTCAGGGAAAGCTTAAGAAGGTTGAAATCACTTGGCGGCCATGACAGGGACAAAGACATTGAATATCAAATGTGGAGTCGCGTAACAAATTCTAAATGATAGTAACTAATTAGTAACTAATTAGCAACAAAATAAAAAACGTGTTTCCCATCGTTTGGATACGTTGTGGTGTAATTATGTACGTGTGAACTTAGCGAGGCACCCGAAAATACGAAAAAAATAATTCGCTGTACCTTTAGCTACCGTAACTAATTAGCAACTTATTAGCAACTAATTCCTATTAATTTTCTAATTGGTTGTGAGTCATCTACAGATGAGATTGCTCGTGTGAAGTTAGCGAAGCACCCCTTAAAAACAAAAATAATTACTTCCCGCCATTAAAATGGCCGTAACTAATTAGCAAATAATTAGCAACAAAGTTCCATGCATTTAATTTATTACTAGAGACGTTCTAAGGAGAAATGTTTCGCTAACTTCATATGAACTTAGCGAAGCACCCAAAAAAAAAAAATCAAAAGAGCAACAAAATCAATATTGCCGTAACTAATTAGCAACAATTTAACAACAAATAATCCACCCATGCCCATTGAGTTTGGCGACGAGTGTTTCGCTAAGTTCATGTTCATCAAAACATAATTTAGTAACAAAATACATACAGTAAAATTTGTAAATTTTTACCTGATAAGCGTCTACTTGGTGCACTCTACTGCTACACTTGCCATGATGCTGCCCAGGCAAATCCCGCACACATGCGAAGGTGATCAATTATGAACAAATTACAAACAAATAATTAGTAAATTTGAATAAATGCAATTATGAATACTTAAAAGCGTGCAGGGTGAAATAGGTGGGGTGCGGCGTGAAGCTAATTTTAATCAGAGCGAGCCTGATTGTTTATATACTAATAAACTATGCAGTACTTCTTTACAGACTTATTACTATGACTTTTTTTTTGAAAGATGATGGTAAAACAGGCTTCAAGGCAAAATTATAGTACAATAATTATTATTTAAAAAACAAACAAAACAAAAAATTGTATTTTTCTTCAGAACTTCCAGTGGAACATGGTTAATTTATTACCTTTCTTGTTGAATATTAATTAGTGTATTATATCTGTATTTTTAATTATGTTATATACTGAGATATTTCAAAATTAGTACTTTCAACCTCTTAACATTACTTATGTACAGGGTGTTTCCTCATATGTATTTTGACCCCTACCTACAGCTTTGGCTATAGGCCAGTCATTAGACCGAGAAAAAGTCCGGCAGCTTGCAAAGGTAGTCACAATTTTGACATGTTGTTCAGATTGAAACCCTAAACAAAAAATTGAGTTTTCGAACTTGAGGCCGACTTCCTCGGCCATCTTGGATGTTTGTGAACGGTCAACTTTAGAAAAAAATGTAGAAACCAAAAATGGGGAAAATTTAATTTTCTACAATTTTTGTATTAAACTTTTTTTTGTAGCTGTTATCTGTAATGAGCTATAGCTAAAAAATCAGGGTAAAAAAAAACATTGCAATTTTTCAAAGTTTCTCGATATTGAATTGTTATTCATGAGTACGAAAACGTCATTAAGTTACTATATTTTCATTATATTACATAAATTTCTATTTATTTAAATTTATGACATATAAATCTACAGGGTGACACTTTAAAAACTTACAATTGGCTAATAAAAAATTAAAAATCGCTGACAACAATTTCTATGATAGAGAGGGGAAACCAAAATGAAGTAGGTAATAACGGTTTTCACTCACCTCCTCACCCCCAGCCACCCCTACTAAATCTTAAATAGCATCCCCCTACATGATTCCTTATCTGATTCAAATGAGGGGGTAAGTAAAAACAGGTTAGTTATTACATCATTTTGGTTTCCCCTCCCAATTATAGAAATTGTTTTCACAGTGAGTTTACTTTTTTTTTTGGTTACTCAGATATAGCCATTGTGAGTTTTTAAAGTGTCACCCTGTATCCTGTATATATTACATACCAAAATATAACAAAGCCATTTGTGTATTTTGTCCTTGAGTCTTATTTATTTATAAAGCGCTTAATACTCATTTCCTAAAAAAACTAACAAAAAAAAGACTGGATATCCATCGGCATTGGCTCCATCGGAAAACAATATCTTTTTGCGGAAACCAGGGAAACGCAAGACTCTTGAAAAACTGTACCTATTCATCAAGGTGCTTGAAACACAAGGATCTCTCAGAACATTTATTCTTTCTTCACTCGTTCAGTGGATGTGACACGATTTCGGCGATTTTCAGTCACGGAAAAACAAAATTTTTGCAACTTCTATAGAAAAACCCGAATCTTTTACTAACCCAGATGCCAAAGAAGATAAAGCTGCAAAGACTGGCAAAAAGTTTTCGATTCTGTACAGTGGAAATAATTCCTCAGATAATTTAGAAGAAGTAAGATACTAGCGCTTTAATAAATTTTCCATCAAAACAAAAGTGACTCTTGTGTCGTTGCCTCAGACTGAGGGGGGATCAAGTGATACATTATTTTGCAGGGTTTTTGGCAACACCAGAAATGTGTCAGTTTGTCAGGTACTTTGTCCACACTTTGTCAACTTGTCATAATCTATGTAAAATTTTAGCACATTTTAGCTTATGATTCTAGTAATTGTGATAAATAAAGTTGCTCAAGAATAAAATAGAATATTACACACGATGGTCAAAAAGCTTTACCTGTTCGTGGAATTAATCCACTCGCTCCTTCGTCGCTCGTGAATCAACATTTTCCACTCACAGGTAAAGCATCTTTTTACCGTCTTGTATAATAATAGTATATTATGCAATGATCATGTAATGATAGCCATTAATACACCAGCATGTTGTAGGATACGAAACGAGCCGCAGGCGAGTTTCGTATATAACATGCGAGTGTATTAATGGCCATTACATGAGAGTTGCATACACTATTTTTTCTACTTGCATTAATGAACGAAAAACATATTTTTTTTATAAGAATAGTAAACTTCTCAACTGGTGACAACTGTTGACAACTTGACAATTTCAAAAATTAAGATCTAGACGTAATTTGGGCATAAATTCCGCACCCGGTTTATTAATTTTTTGTTGTTTCTTCTGCAAAATACTAATAGAAACAATCCAAAATTCCAAAGCAAGTCTGTTATTTTTATGTAAACATTGTTCATGTTCAAAATACTCGATTCCAGTGGCTGAAAAATCTGTATCATAATGAAAATCTGTATCGTAATGAAATTCATTATGAAACAGATTTTAGACGTATTATGAAACGTCAGTAGAAAAAGAACTATTATTTCACCCTAATGAAACTCACTGAGTTCACACAACATAAAATACAATCATGAAACAACCATAATAATTATAAATTATTTAAATAAATTGAACTTCAATTGATTCTTCTCACTCTTGAGATAGCTGCATACCTTTTCCGGTGATTTTCTAAGCTGAAGTTTAATTTATTTAGATAATTCATAATTTTTATTGTTGTTTTATGATTGTATTTTATGTTATCTAAACTTAGTGGGTTTATTTCATTAGGTTGAAATAAATAACGTTGTTGATGTTTTTTCAAATTAAACTAATAAATGTTTGAGAAATGAGTATTAATTAGGATCAGTTTGAAATTCATTTTCAAAAACGTGAAATCAATTTTCATTTGAGCGAAATTAGATTTCACTGATGTGAATTTAGTTTTCATTAATTTGAAAACAAATTTCACAAGTGTGAAATAATCCTGGAAATGGTATAGTTGAACTTTTTTGGAAATATTGACAGTTGAAAATTGAGTTTTTTGCAACTATCATATCCTAAGGTAAGGTACACAAACCAAAAAACAAATTGTTATGCTGGTTCTTTTGAATTTTATCAAATTAGAAAACTACATTGCTGCTGTCTGGAGATGCGCATCTGAATCCAAACAAAATCTTCTGGAAATGACATTTTGTGGATGGCATCAAAATAATGAATATTATTTGGAACCAGTTCCTTTGCTAAGTCCACCAGCATCAAAGGCAATAATCAAGCCGATTAAATATGGCTGCAAACAGGGATGTGAAACCAATACATGTTCCAGTAAAAAAAAAAATAGTCTCTACTGAGGCAGTAGTCGAATTCTTGTGTTCCAATGGAAATTTATTGGCACCAATAATTATAGAAGAGAATGAAGATTCCTTTTGCTCAGGTGAAGATAGATGTTCTAACGCAGGCTTTAGTAATCAAAAACTTATTTTTAGATGATGAAGACATGGTTAAATCTTAAGCCAAATCAGTTTTTTTTTATTTATGTTTCATTAAATATATCAAAGAATCAATTTTTATTTTTTTTTCTTTATATATTCATTTTTTTATATACAGGGTGTCCCACAGTGGATGGCGTATTAGACGTTTATGGAGAACTGAAAAGCCGATCATTTTGAAAATTTGGCAACCGGGATAAACGGCCATAATCTACACTTTACAAATATTTTTGTTTATGCGGTGTTACCGCTTCTACTCCAAACCAGTGGCAACATCGCTATTTTAAATAGAACACCCTGTATGTGATTGCATATTTGGATTCTACGTAAAATTCTGTACAGATTTCATGTGGTATACCCTATACCCAATCTCAACTGTTTTGGAAATATTGACAGTTGAAAATTGACTTTTTGCAACTTTGACAGACTGTAAAACCTAAACGGTTAATTTTAGAGGAAAACCGATCTTACATTTCTATCTTAGATTTTCATAAACTATCCTTTGACACCAACTTTGAATTTAATCCATGATTAAAAATTCCTAATTAAATTTAATCTTCGGTTAAATTCAAAGTTGGTGTCAAATGATAGTTTATGAAAATCTAAGATAGGAATGTAAAATCGGTTTTCGTCTAAAATTAACCGTTTAGGTTTTACAGCCTGTCAAAGTTGCAAAAAGTCAATTTTCAACTGTCAATATTTCCAAAACAGTTGAACTTAGGTATAGGGTATATCAATCAATCAATCAATCAAAATATACTTTTTCTATTTTGGTGTCATATCGAAGTCTTTTCGACACTAAAAGTAGTTTCGAAAAGAAGCTCTTTGTGACACTCCTTTTTTACTTATCGGAGGTTGGTAACACTGGCTGACTGATGGCCATCGAACTGTCATTCGCGATAAAAACTAATTAGGCAATTCAATCCATCTGTCAAAAAGGAAAATTCAATGTGGCGTGGCGGCCAAGCAAGTTTGTTTTGAATATGTTTTTATGCGTATTTTAAATTATTTTGCATATAGTTTTGCTTACAACTTTGATTTTGATTATTTAATAAAATATTTGTTGACTAGGTACCTAAACTATTAATTCGGGCAGAAACTAGATATTTTTTTGTGTTTTTTGGCCCATGTGTGGCCGCCACGCCATCTTGAATGTCACGTGGTTTGAATTGCCTAATAGAAGATTTCTATGCCAAAGCATGTAGTGTTGCCAACCTAAACATATGAAATCAGGAAATATGAGAATAAAATTTCCAAGAAAAGTTTGTTTTTTTCAATTAAATAAACAATAACAAAATAGAAAAAATAGTATAAAATATTCGTTTCGTAAGACATTTTATCGCACGAGCCCTATATTAGAAAACGAGCCGGAGGCGAGTTTTCTAATATAGGGCTCGTGCGATAAAATGACGTCTTATGAAACTTGTATTTTAATGTACTATTATTGTCGGAAAATAAATTTCATTGACAAAGCATGATCTTAAATAAT